AACTCAAACTATGTTTTTTTAGCCTTTTTCAAACTCTAAAAATCATTTTAAGAGGCAAAGAAAAGAGTGTAAAACTAGGGTGTGAGCTATGAAGTAGTGTAACAACCCCAACCCATGATTAACATTAATTCATACTTAATTATGCCCAATGAGTAATTAAAGTGAAATTTTGCATCATACGTTGGCTTATTTGTGTTTATATCTGTTTAACGTAGGAAGATATGTTCATGTTTTCATTTCAATTGCGAAATTGAAGGCCTTATCGACACCCGATTCAGAAATTAACTTGCTTTATGTGTTAATTAGAATTTTTAAAATTTTATGGTAGGTTTAATTGAATTTCAAATCGGAACAATTAAATTAAAATAATTTAATGTCTATTTGATTAGTTTGATCAATAAATAATTACACCTTTACCCAAGCCTATATAAGGCAAATTGTAGACTCAAGGCTATTATATACATTTTCATTTCCTCATCTTTTGACTCAAACATGAGAGAGGAGAGAGTGTAAGAGTTGGGAGAGGAACTTCAACAATTAGAGTGAATTGTAGGAAATTTAGAGGGAAAATCAAGAATTACTCAACCTTGGAGAGAAGTTTGGCTCCAACACTTGCTAGCTCAAGGCTTAAGGTAGGAAATTCAACTCCTTAAACATGAATTTGAATTACTTAGTGCAAGAATTCAAGAGAATTAGAAGATTAAGCATGGGAATTAAAGTAAGAATGTAGAGTGAAAGATTAATTCATGCATGCATGCATAATTCATGAATTTTGAATTTAATTTACAATCAATCCATACATGCAAGAGGTAATCTTTGTTAAATGTTGAGAGCTCACCATAGTTTTGCACTTACAATCCCAAATTACTTATGTTTTGAAAGACAATATCTTATATCATTACATGCATGTTGTATATACAAAATTTCAAGCTTAGTTTTCAAGAATTGATTTGGTTTTGGGCTTTGATTTTGTGAACTAATCTTCATTTCATATTGTTATACAAGTTTCTAAATGTTTCCATAAGTTTTTCGCCCAAAAGAACAAAAATTGCAGCTTTGAAGTTGAATTTGGGAGCTTGGAGGTGAATCTGGAAATTCCAGAATTCAACCTCTCCGCTCGAGCGTGGGATTCTGCGTTCGAGCAGCCACCTTTGTTTTTGCATCTCCGCTCAAGCGACCTGAAGTTCGCTCAAGCGTGAAATGCATGCTCTCAGAAGTTTCATATTTTTGCAGAACGCTCGAGCAGCAAGAGTTACGCTTGAGCGGGGGCATGAGTCTCACGCTCGAGTGACCATCAAGCGTTCATTGAGCGTGAAAATCGCTTAATCAGAACTTTTTCAAAGTTTGCAGAACACTCGAGCGGAGGAAGTTACGCTCGAGTGTCCCCTCACATTTTACACGTTCGCTCGAGCGAAGAAAGCTACGCTCGAGTGGGGACCCTATTTTCAGAAAATTCGATCAAGTGTTTTCAAATGCATTTTTCCATCCTCATTCCATCCTAGGTATTCCTAGGCCAAGTTTAAGGCATAATATTGAGGGTAACTTGTAGAAACACACTATGAATAGAACATAATGAGTTAGATATATTCCAACATGTGTTTCAAATGTGTTTTTGTTATGTGTTATGTAGGTTACGTGTCGTAAACCGTTTGATTAGTTTGCTTTGTCTGTCTGCACCAGAAGCCAACTGTGAGTAATAATTTAGTAAAGTTATGTTCAACTTTATTTATTTTCTATATGATAAAATAAAATCTGTTTTCTAAAATGTTATATTTTGTACAATGAATGATTGTCCAATTTCTGACATGTATTCGTGACATCCTTAGCATCATGTGATATCTGTTAGCTATTACCCGGTATCGGAGGTTCCATTATGGGACTTATTATGTCTGACATCTGTTACTCGTACCGGAGGCTCCATCATAGTGCTCAGCATGTATATTCTCTGCTACTCGGATCCGGAGGTTCCTTTATGGAACTGGTTATTCATAACCACCATAAGTTCTGCATCTGTTCTATATCTGCTCTGTTAGCGCTAAGGGATGTACCACGTATAACTAAGCATGAACTCTGACTTCTTTGTATGATTTGAACAAGGATATGAATATGAATCTGAATTATGATTTCTGAATCTGGTATGAACTTCATTCATTAAATTCTTTACTCTATTATTATCCACTAGGCTTCCGCTCATTATTTGTATTGTGTATGTAGGTGACCAGGCACGTGATCAGGGCCAGAGTTGATGGCCTGGGATTCCGTTTTGTTAGCCATCCTTTGCGCCTCTCGAGGGGGTTCCGGACCAAGTCAAGTCATGTAGCCATGTCTTTTTGAACAGTTTGTTTTTGGTTATCTGTACATGGGGTGATGTATAATTACTGTATCTATGTGACGTCATATGTATGCTTATAAAGTTTAACATTATTTTGTCCCATGTCTGTCTGCACAGCTCAATGGACGTTGTATTTTGTATATTTGCTTCCGCAGCCCCTTGATTATACGTTATTCTGTTCAGAAGCCTTTGGTAATCCAAGGATTACTGGCCGGTTACGATGCTAAACCTACAGGGACGGGTTTGGATCATGACAAGTAGAGTGCAAGAAAAGGTGTTAACCCTTTCTACCCTTTGGTAGCTATTCAAACCCAAGTTCTAACACTTAAAACAGGATCAAAACAATACAAAAACACTAGAAAGAGATAGAGGAAAACATAAATGAAAGTAATAGAAAGGTGGTGAGCTTATACCTCTTGAAGAAGGTAAGCTCTTGTTTGTGAACCAAACTTGGTCCAAGCACACTCTCAAGATTGAATTGTGACTTACAACGCTCAACCAAAGTCCTAAGGTCTGGGTCTAAGGTTGTGTATGGTGTATGGTGTATAGATATGGTGTAAGGGTGATCAAATATCTCAAAGGTAGCTTGTACAAGAAGAAGGGGCTCTCAACTATGTTTTTGCTTCTTTGAAATTTTTCCAACCTCTAACACTGAGATATATGTTCGTATTTATAGAATTTGAGCAAAAATAAGTCGAAAATATCTTCAAAAATAGACAACTGGCCCATTCCCACCCAGAACAGTGTTTCTCACTAATGAGAGCCGACCGGCTCTCAATGCTCTCCAATGTTCCACCATTTTAAACTCAGTGTATGGTGGCACAATGGTCAAAAATGAATTTTTGGAGTAAGCACAGTATGAATAAGAAGGGTTTGGGATTGTTCTAGAATGCGAGCTTACGTTCCATCGTTAAGACTTTGAATCACACTCAACGCAACTTCATCATCGAGTGCCCACGACAAAGCGTCCAAATCTTGCGGACAGTCAAAAATTGGGTGCCTATAGGACGCCTATTAATCTCGAGCACCAGTGGAGAGGGCAATATTCTGTCTAAAAGACACAATGTCCATACACTGGCCTTAATCACAACTTTGTTCAATAGTTTGATCTTCGAAAAGTTGTAAGTTTGTTTTATTTTATTTATTATTCTCTATTAATTAATTTTACCAAAATTATTCTCCAACATTCTTTGTATTATTTCACAATTGAATATATAGAAAATATTCAAAAATCTTACATGGTATCAAAGCTAGGTTCGAAACCCTAGCAGCCATTATCCAAGCTTCTCTACTTCGTTGAGTTCTTTGGTTCAACTTTCTGAATATGTACGACCTATCTGGTTCGAGATTGGGTTTGGTTCATCTGTTCCTCCATTTGAGTCGTCGTCGTCTAATTCGCGTAACTTCTCCAGTCTAGTTCGTAACTCCTCTACGATCGGCATCTCTGGTTCGTCGCCATCCTCTTTCGTCTTCGCTAGTTGAAAGGCCATCCGTCTTGACCCCTCTTTGGTTCATGACCTTCAGTCGGAACTCCTCTCACTACTGGTCTTCTCTCATCTTTGATTTCGTCGATTGGTTCTCACGGGTGATCCTTGTTCACTGATCCTCTAAGCACCGAAGTTCTTTTTTTCTTCTACTCTAGTATCACGACCCATCGCCAGCTCTCTGGTTCAATCTAGTTTCGAATATGCAACACCAAGCTGCTTGCTCTCTCTCTCTCTCACTCTCTCTCTCGTTCGACTGGTTCGTCGGGTCATTTGGGTTGTTAGCTCATCTGATCTTGATTTGGTTACTTTGGTCTATTTTGGATTTATTATACTTGAACCCTTAGTTTGGCTATTTTGTTTGATTGCACTTGAACCCCTCAGTTTTCTAGTTATTATGATGTCTCTGACTTCTTATGAGTGTGCTTTTTGCAATCAGAGAGGTCATTGGAAATATCATTGTTCCAAGAAGGGATGTCTGTCTATCTCGTCTTCTCAGCAGTTTCTGATCCAATTTTGTGCCCCTCTTCCGAATATTTTTCAGCCACCCACCGGGTCTACTACATCTGCCCCGGCCCCTGATCCTGACTTAGTTTCCTTAAGTGCTCAGATAAGTCAACTTCAGCATATACTATCTACCTCCCAACCATCCCTATCTACCTCCATTGTTTCCTCTTTTCATTCAGGTTTACTTGGGTCTTCTTCAGGTATCTCTTCGTCTGTCTAGATTTTTTACTCTGGTGCCTCTTATCATATGACTCCTCATTTCTTTTTACTTCAAATTTGTACACTGGGTTCATCACTGAATTTTTGACATGCTCACATTTCAAATGAAAACACGCTAGGTTAGAAAAGAAAAGTGAAATTTTTTTTGTGGGGTAATTTGATGAGTCAAAAACTTACCAATGTTCCTTTGTACATAAAAATAAATAAATAAAATAAAATACAAAAAATATAACGAAAAACAGACAAAAACTCACTAATGCTATAATATTGAAGATAAAAATTAATATTTGGCCAAATGAAATTAGCCGAATTATTGGTAAATTCAGTGGCAAAAGTTTCTGCAATATCATCAAAAAATTAGCATGGGTGGCAAAAGATTTTTGGTCCTTAACTTACTCCAAATGTTGACCCCTACAAATATGTGTATTTGAAATGTATGTGCAATTGTTCAACAAAGAGGCACAAATATATATGTATGTATATATATGTCATTGCACTGCCACATAACATAATTTGCTTAATTGAATGAATGAGATATAAAGATTAACTTGCTTTCAATAATTTACCCAAATAATCTCCAAAACCAAATATATTTTGTAAGAATTTATTCATAATTGGAATACCATTGACTGCATTTTAGGCTGGGATAAGTATTGTTAGTGCCTTCAGTTCTGCAAAAGCCCCTTAGTCTTTAAGTAGGCCACTGAGTGGTCAAAAATTTCTTCAATCCCATACTTGAAACTAAATCCTTCTTTGATAAGCTTTTCGGATGAGATGATCAACTTGGCTTTGGACGGCAAATCTCCAAAACTGTTATTGAACAACGACAATTAAGTTCAATTAATTACCATATATCACTTTGCAGACAGTTAAAATTTCAGAATTTCATTATGTTAATACTATATCACTTGGTGTGGACAAATTTTTGTTTTGTGCTTATGTTTGTACCCTTTTGGCACAAAGTGTGCTTACAACTTTTGAGAAAAAATGACTTGTTGAAAAAGCTGATTATTGGGGAAGTTGGGGATAGAAAAGGATGTTTTTGGATAATACATTTAGATTATTACTTTTATCTTGCAAAAATCTGTGCCAAGCAGGTCTATAATGCAGAAAGCTTGATGTGTGAATTGTTTAGAAGAAAGAAAAAGGGCTTACTCGGTAGGAACATTGTACTGGGGGTATCTTTTGTTCAAGAACCTTGCAAGCTCTGGAACACTGGAATTGACACCACAACAAATGTATCGACCACAAGCTGATTCTTTCTCCGCCACAAATATGTGCGCACCACAAACATCCTCTACGTGGGTAATTGAGATCGAACCTGACAGTATCTGCATACCTTTCAGTCCATCTATGAGGAATTCATTCCCTGCAGAATGTTGAAATGCAATCAATACATCAGCAATTTATCCGATACATTTTTTTTTTTCAGTCTAGTTTTGTACCTGTGATCAAGGACATGGCAAGTTCAATACTATTAGGAACTTCCGATGTAAGAGAAGGACCAGCTGTAAGAGTAGGGACGACAGTTATGAGGTTAAGGTTATTTTCTTCAGCAAATTTCCACGCTGCTTTCTCCGCTAGTGTCTTTGATACAGGATACCCCTGCAAATTCATATTTATTCGTTTCTGGATCATAAAAATAAAATAAAAAAACTTAATGAATTTAAGAATTTTGGGAGTTACCCAAGTGGGTGGCTTCACAGAAGTCAAAAACTCGACATCTGACCAGTGACTCTCATCCATGACAAGCCCCGTTCCATCAAGCTGATTAATCGTTACAGAGGCTGCTGATGATGTTAAAATGACACGTTTAACCGTTCCTGCTTTCGCGCAGGCTTTTAAAACATTAAGCACTCCTTGGATTGCCAGCTTTATCATGTCATTCTAGGTACATTCAAAAATTCATCATCAGTTTTGTCAAAAAATCGACAGTTTGTTTAAATTTAATTTTTTATGTGAATAGTAATGAAATACCTCTGGATCTTCAGAAGCAAAATTAACTGGGGTTGCAACATCAAAAACAAGGTCACAACCGGCTATGGGGGCATCAAAGCTCTGTTCATCAGTTAGGTCTGCTCGGAAGATTTTTAAGTTTCCCATACCCTCCAGTGCTACGAGGTGAGAGATGTTTTTCTTATTATCTGCACCCAAAGGAAAAACTTAGTGTTATATCACCGGCTTTTATCATTGTTATGTTTCACTACACAAATATGAAGAGCCGACTCTCTTTGATTATTTTTTTTTTTCTTGTTACATAAATTTTTTCTCAACATAAAACAAACATCCAATAAGTTGGTGACATACAACATTTTTGCAAGATAATTCATATTTCGAGTTTTCATGATAAATTGTGTATTAGAAGACTCTTGCCACTCTATTACATTTGTGGTGTGATTGTTATAGAATTATTTCAGTTTTATGATACCCTTGTTTTGTAGCACATTACCATTTGTCCAAAAAATAACAAACATAAACAGTAAAAAAGAGATATGCCGATATAGTCAGGGTGAGTCAATTTTTGCTGAGCAAAACCTTAACCGTACTCGAAATTACAATACAATTGACATTTTCTACTAATTTAAACTCTAAATTTGAATGCAATTCAACAAAATAAGACACTTTATATCGGGAAATACTACTGTGTGCACCCCTTTTGGGGTGCATGTGATATGCACCTTATGTAAAAAAATCCAACTTTTATCACAAAAAGTATTAACCTTAGTTATGCATAACTTTTAGGTGCACATAGTAACTTTACCATTTATAACTTTTATCACAAAAATTGTAATTTTTCTTACAATGAGCAACTGAACATTGTAGCATTTCCCTTGCATCAAACACCTAATTCAGAATTGGTATTATTCTCTCACTTTGTATATTGATTTGCTGCTGTATACAGATCTACATATAAAGAAAGTCTTCTTTATCTCACACAATTGAGAGCAACCATTATTCCATGTCTTCCATTTCTTTCAAAACTTACCGAGAGAGAGAGAGAGAGAGAGAGAGATGGGATATCTCATATTTTCATGGCAGAAACAAAAACATAGGCAAATTCACCATTTTAAATGGGGCGAACATAAACAGAAAACATTCTGTTTTGTATCATTTTCACTTTTTATGTTTCGTTTGTTTTTCATGTTTTAAAAAAAAAAAAACAATAAAAAGTTCACCATCACCTGTTTTCATTTTTGTGCAAAAAACAAAACAAAATTCATAAAACAACTTAAATGTGTTTCTTAAAAAAAGGGATGCATTTCAAAAACAAAATAAATTTGAAAATAGTTTGTCATACAGATTTGTTATTTCTCAAAGTTGAGTGGTGACAATTGCCCCCACCTACCTCACTTCAAGGCCACACCTACCCATAGACATAGCTTCGTTCGGGATTTAGGTTCATGAAGCTTACAATATTAGTTCTTCGCCACAAAAAAAATAAAATAAATGATTGATTATTTTCCACTTCTTATGATGAATTCATTTATTCTTGATAGGGGAAATTATATGGTACACACCACCAAAAATGTTTGTACCATATGCACCTTTTACGTATTTTTGTAGTGTACGCCATGTATTTTTGTGATAAATATTACGGGATTTTTTTTTTTTTGTAGAATTATGACAATTTATAACATAAAAATATGTAATGACGGTACATATAGTACATACCACAACATTACCTAATTGATAGATGTTACTGGGAATATAGTCTGTTTAAGGCTAACTTTTAGTGATGATTGTTTCTTTCTTTCTTGGCAGAATTACAATTCTGTGTAAAGTTTTTCAAAAATAAATAAAAAAATAACATATAAATGATAAACTTTATAAATATTCGTAATTAAAATTATAAATTTTTTCATATTTTGGGTAAATTGTTTTTGTAAAAATCACTGTGTTATGATTCTCCCTTCTTTCTTTGATCCCTATATATATGTACCAAAACCACATTCCAAACCTCACTAATGGGTGGCTTGGTTGAGCTCACATTCTTAACGCGAACCTACTCACCACTACTCATAAAAATTATTGGGTAAATTACACTGACCTTCTTTTAGGAATGGAGAAGATATAATTAGTCCTTTAATTTTGACATAATTACGTTAATTTACATTCTAGTAAGGTTAAAGTGGCCGAAATTAATGTATATAATATAAAATCACAATGATAAATAAGAAAAAAAATTACATTTTAGTGTAAAATATATGATATCATCATTTTTTCTATTCATATGATTAACGAATCATTGATGAAAATGGGAATTTGTTTTTGTTTTTATTTTTTTAAAATATAAGAAAGCTTAGTGTAATTTATCAAAATTATTTTGTTCAGAAAGTTAGGTCCACACAAAAGGAAGGAAATGCCATTATGCACACTCCAGTGGCAGATGCAGCTGGTTGGTCTCTCTTAATGTTATGGTCTATAGACACCTCATTTCTTGGTTGGTGCATAAGTGAAAAAATCCCAAAAAAATCTGAAAACAAATGTAAATATGTAGAAGAAACAAGGGTACCAGGACCAAAAAAAAAATTAGGATAAATTACCAATAGACACTTGATATTATTTCATATAGCTTTAAAAATTACAAATTCTCCCTTACAAGAATTTTTTATTTATTTAACAAAATCAACAAAAAAATAAAATTCCTAACTGTTTTTTTATACAATAATAAAATTATCGAAATTATTAATTAAATTATATTTCTAACATCATTAAAAATTATTAATTAACTTAACGATTTATTAATAAAAAAATTTATTTATTATGCAATTAAAAATTTAAAAAGTAAAATATAATTTTTAAAACTACATCAATAATTCATATTTTAAGAAGGTACATTTCCAATTCAGCCTAAATTTTAAGTAGTTGACAAGTAAAAAATGGAATAGAATATTAGAGGGAGGAGAAGGAGGAGACTGACCGGGGTCCCTGACAGTGGTGTTGACGGAATATCCTCTCTCTAGCAACATCTTCACAAGGGTGGCAGCCACGAAGCCGGTGCCGCCAACCACACACGCCGCCTTCGCTCCGATCATCGGTTTGGTTGTTGTTGTTGTTGTTGCCATTGCCATTGCCATTGCCATGGCTTTTCTCACTTTGAGAGATCACAGCAAGAATTGGATGAAGATATGATATAATTGTGAGTTTTGAAGGCTGACTGGTTGTTTCTTCGTTTTGGGGTTTGCATTAAATAGAGAGGTTCACTTTGAATTGGGAGGAAGAAGGTAAGCACGTGAAGTCAAACACACTCAAACACACAGCACCAACGACTCAAACCTAGTAGCTTGCTTCTTCTTTTTATATATATATTTTATGATCATTCCTTTGATTCCACCTTTCATCCTGGGTCCCAACAAACCTATTGTTTTTATTTTTTAGTAATTTTTTAAAATTATGTTAATTTTTTTGTGTATATGAATTTAAAAGGATAAAAAAAAATTAAATATAAGAAAAATTCAGTAAAGACCAAAAAAAGCTAACTACTTTTGGATTTTATTTTTTTATAATTTTATAATTTTTTATTTGTCTAGTTGAATAGAATTATAACTTTTGTTTTTTTAATTTTACTAAAAATATAAAAGTCAAAGAGAAAACAACAGTGTTGCGTACACAAAGGGCCAAATGTAGAACTAAATACAGAAACTGTTCATCCAAACGACCAGTCAGATGATTGGGTGGTCGACCGAATGACAAGATGATAGTTGTAGTTGACAAGATGATAGTTGTAGTCGACAAGTTCTGGGCGATCGTCCAAATATACAATTTCTATGTTTAATTTTGTATTTGATCTTCCGTGTGCGTATCATTACTGATAAAAAAAAATCAACTTCTAAAGTGTTACATTAATTTCAGTGGTCTAAGTCAAAATGGTTTTCTCAAAGTCATTTTTTTTACTATACTACTCTAATGATGATTTTTCATTTTGACCTTACCAAATGCTAAATTCAATTAACATTTGATTTATTTGAGAGAATTTTGAGATTTTAAATAAATTATAAAATCAAGATTGTTTAATTGAAGCGTGATCGTAATTTTTTCACTCAACGATACTTTGGTTTATCTAATCGTTGTCATATTAGGAATTGACCCTTCCTAACCAAGATCGATGAAACACGAAATAACAAATAAGGAAGAAAAAACAAATCAAACAAAACACACACACAATAACACAAGGATTTACATGGTTCACGCTAGAATAATGTTACATCCACAACTGTTGCGGTTTTTACTATGATCAGAAAAATACAACTCTCTTAAACTAAAAGAGGCATCCCCACATCCATTTATAAGTATAGAATTAGGGTTACACGAAAGCAACATGAGAATTACAAAAGTACTCCCCAAACCCCCTATTAGACCCAGTGTTTGAGTGAACAGTACTTATCAGGGTCCACCAACCCAACAATCTCCCACTTGGAACCTAATAACACAAGCTCTTCATCATCATCGCCACAACAACTCGATCTTCTTTCAACAATCTTGAAGGCCAACAAGTTGCACACAACTTCAGTTTGTCAATCGTGACTATCTTGGTCAACATATTTGTTAGATTCTTACTGCCTTGGATCTTCTCAAGAGACAAGACTCCATCATCTACAAGTGAACGAATGAAATGATATCGCAACTGAATGTGTTTCGTCCTATAATGAAAAATCGAATTCTTTGCAAGATAAATAACACTCTAATTATCACTATGCAAAATACCCATCTATTGTGTCTTACCCAACTCTGCTAGGAAATTCTATAACCAAGTCATCTCCTTCCCAGCTTCAGTAATAGCAACATACTTAGCCTCTATAATTGAAAGGGCCACAATCTTCTGTAACTTTGAAATCCAACTCACTGTTGTACCACCCAATGCGTAAACATAACCAATAGTACTCTTTCTGTTATTCATATCACCAGCCATGTCTGCATCAACATAACCATGTAACCCGATGCCGGTTTGTCTGAAACAAAGTGCCATGTCTGTAGTACCACTCAAGTATTTAATGATCCACTTCACTGCCTCCCAATGCTGCTTGCCTGGATTACTTTACTAACCACTCCCACTGCATATGCAATGTCTAATCTAGTACAACCATAGCATACATTATGTTACCAATAGTTGAAGCATATAGAACACGTTTCATGTAAGCTTTTCTTCGGTCTTCGGAGACTACTTTTTGGTAAGTCTGAAGTGGCTAGCCAATGGAGTGCTCACTGGTTTTGCATCATTCATGCTAAATCTCTTGAGAACTTTCTTGACATACTCAGCCTGTGACAACTTCAAAGTACCATTTGCCTTGTCCCTCTAAATCCTCGTACCAAGGATTTTGTTTGCAACTCCAAGATCTTTCATTTCAAATTAGTTAGACAAAAGTTTTTTTAATCTTTTTATCTCTTCAATGTTAGATCTTACAATAAACATATCATCAACATATAAGAGCAAAATAATATAACTTTTGTCAAAATCTTGAAATAACAGCAATGATCTGCTTGACATCTTGTAACACCGTTGCTACACATAAACCATCAAACTTCTTGTACCACTACCTTGGAGCCTGTTTCAAACCATACAAGCTTTTTCAAAGTTTACATACAAACTCCTCTTTGCCACGTGCCAAGAAACCTTATGGCTACTTCATGTAAATTTCGTCCTCCAAATCACCATGAAGAAAAGTCGTCATCACATCTATCTACTCAAGATGCAAATCTTTAACAGCCATAATTCCTAGCACCAATCTGATAGTGGTTAACTTCACAACTGGAGAGAAAATTTCAATGTAGCGTTTACTCTTATCAAGCCACCACTCTTTGGAACATGACAGCAAATTGAAGCTTGGCTTGCAGCGTTTACTCCTATCATGTTCCTGTTTGACCCTGTAAACCCACTTGTTGTGCAAAGCTTTTTTACCTCCTTGGTAATTCACTCAACTCCCACATATGGTTTGCCATGAGTGAATCCATTTCATCTTGCATAGCTAACTCCCACTTATTTGAATCATCAACCTGCAAAGCCTCATCATAACTTTTTGTTTCACCCTCATCAGACAACAACAAATAATGTAAAGATAAAGACCAACACTATGTAGGTTTAGACTATATTTCTAACCGTCTCAACTTAGGAGTAGGAGTATGTGGTTCAGTTTGTGGAATAAGATTTTCAAGATTATTCTGAATCGTACTATTCAAATCACTCCCACTAATCTCTTCTAACTCAACATGCTCATGACAAGTAACAGATTTAAATGCAAACTTATCTCTATCTTTATACATTACTTTCTCGTTAAATATGACATCTATACTTCTGATTATTTTTCTGATTTTTATTATCTCAAGACCGATAACCAAATTGATCAATGCCATATCCAATAAAAGTACATTTAATAGATTTTGAATCAAGTTTACTTCTATCAGCAGAATCTATATGCACATATGAAACACAACCAAATACCTTCAAAAAAGAAAGATTTACCTCTTTACCACTTCAAACTTTTTCTGGTAACTCTTTATCCAACGAAACAGATGAACCACAGTTAATCAAATATGCTGCAGTGTTAACTACATCTACCCAAAACTTCTTTGGTAATCTGGCATGTATCCTCATACTTCTAGCACATTCATTCAGAATTATATTCATGCATTCTGTAAAGCCATTCTGTTGAGGTGTCTTTCAAATAGTCTTCTCCATTCTAATTCCAGTTTTTGTACAATATTTCTTAAACTCATTGTCCTCATATTCCCTTCCATTATCTGATCTCAAGCACTTAATTTTCAAATTTGTTTCAGTCTCCACCAAGGCTTTCCACTTCTTAAAAGTAGTATAAACTTCATATTTATGTTTCAGAAAATAAACCCATACCTTTCTCATTGAGTCGTCGATAAAGGTAACATAGTATGATGATCCTCTAAGAGATGAAACTAGTGCAGGCCCTTACACATCTATATGAACCAACTCCAACTTTTCTAACTTCAGTTTCCTTGAATCCTTTGAAAAACTGACCTTTTTTTTGTTTACCGAAGATACAATCCTCACAAAAGTCAATGTCCACCGATTTCAAATCTGACAGTTTCCCCTTAGATGCAAGTACCTTCATCCCTTTTTGACTCATATACCCAAGCCTTTGGTGCCACAGATTTGAGTCTTCCTTCTCACCCGCAACTGCTACTGCATCCCTATTGTTTATTGTCGTGTAAAGAGTGCCTTCTTTTTTATCATGAGTAACAACCATGGCCCCTTTGGTGATTTTCCACAAACTACCCATAGAGGTTACAACATGACCTTCATTATCAAGTTGTCCAACATAAATCAAGTTTCTTTTCAAACCAGGCATGTGTCTGACATTCTGTATCTTCCAAACAAATCCATTTAGCAACCTGATTGTTACATCCCCTTTACCCACAATCTTTAAAGGTTCATCATTAGCCAGATAATCCTTCTAAAAATCACCACCAATGTAATTGTTCTTGATTTCCCTCTGTGAAGTAGTATGGAATGATGCCCCAGAATCTAAAATCCAAGATTCAAGAGGGCTATCAATACTCAAGATCAAAGCATCATAAATCTTCTTCGTTGCAGCATTAACAGACTTCTGATTTGATCCCAATTGCTCTTATTCAATGTCGGGCAATCTCCTTTCAAATGTCCTTTCTTTTCACAGTTCCAGCAACTATGTCCCTTTCCAGTTCTTGACTTGCTTCTATGTTTGGATTTTGATTTGTTGCGGTTCGGGTTTCTTTCTATTGATCTTCCTCTGGCTTTTGTATTCAGGGCAGAACCTGATGTTTCCTCTAATTCCCTCCTGTGAATTTCTTCACTCAAAATTAAATCTTGAATATCATTGTAATTCAACTTTTCTTTTCCCAAAGAATTACTCACTGCCGTTGCAATACTATTCCAACTTTTTGGCAAATTAGATAGAAGAATCAAAGCCCTAACCTCATCATCAAATTTGATAGATATAGAACTCAATTGTGTTACCACAATATTGAATTCGTTTAGATGCTTAGCCACCGAAGCACCTTTTGTCATCCTCAAATTAAATAATCTACGAATCAAACAAACTTTATTTGAGGCAGAAAGTTTTTCGTACATATTTGAGAGTGCCGCCATGAGACGTGTTGTAGTCTTCTCCTTCACTATGTTAAACGCAACGTTACGAGACAACGCTAGCCGAATAACACCTAGGGCTTGGCGATCAAGGAGAGTCCACTCATTATCCTTCATCTTTTCTAGTTCCATCCCTAAAAGGGACTCATACAGTTTTTTCTAATGTAGATAGTTTTCAATCTGTATCTTCCAAAATTCAAAATCTGTGCCATTGAATTTATCAATTCTAACCTTTTCGTCTATAGCTATTGCTCACACTTGAACCAATGCTCTGATACCAATTGTTAGGATTTGACCCTTCCTAACCAAGATCGATAAGACACGAAATAACAAATAAGGAAGAAAAAATGAATTAAACAAAACACACACACAAGAACACAAGGATTTACATGGTTCATCCCAGAATAGGGCTATGTCCACGGCTGATGCAATTTTCACTATGATCAAAAAAATACAACTCTCTTAACCTAAAAGAAGCCCCCTGGAACCTCCCTCCCTCTTGGGAGAGGCCCCCCCAAATCCCCAATTGAACCCAGTGTTTGAGTGAACAGTAGGGTTGAGTGAACAGTGCTTATCAGGGTCCACCAACCCAACAATGTCAATAGTTCAATCCTCGAAGTCTTTTTAGAAGTTCATTTTTTATAATTTACATAACGTTTGATTATTATCTGGTACTGCTTCTAGAACTACTTGGAATTTTTTTTATAATTTTTATGGTAAATTATACTAAAGATCCTCTTAGTTTGAGTAAGGTTTCATTTTGATCCTTACAATTTTAATTTGAACAAATTTCTCATCATAGGTCTAATAATAAAAAATAAGAAAAATTGTTAAAAATTCATTTCTTGAGGATGTATGGCATTATGTCCGAAGATTATTTTGTTTTGGTTGTAAAGACATGATTAATGAAATTATTTGGTCAGAAAAACAAATTATTATTTTAAAAAATATTGTTATTTTTATTTTTATCCATTATCGTCGGACCACCATCGGTCATTGGTACCAAACAATTTGTCGAAAATATAACCAGAAAGTCGTTGAAGGCAACTGGTGGTAACAGTTGGCAGTGGCTGGTAAGGGGTGGACATTTGTTGGGCCGAGCTGGGCCGACACCACATAATAAGGAACTTTGTGTCTGTCCAAGCCCGGCCCGACCTTAACATCAGGCCTCTACATCTTCCCAAACCAAGTCCAAAAAATAATTATAAATCTCAAACCCAACCATGGGGTTATGTAAAGACATGATTAATGAAATTATTTGGTCAGAAAGACAAATTATTATTTTAAAAAATATTTTTTTTTCATTTTTATCCATTATTGCCGGATTGGTACCAAACAATTTGTCGAAAATATCACCAGAAAATTGTTGAAGGCAACTGGTGGTAATAGTTGGCAGTGGCTGGTAGGGGATGGACATTTGTTGGGCCGAGCTGGGCCAACGCCACATAATAAGGAACTTTGTATCTGTCCAAGCCCGGCCCGACCTTAACATCAGGCCTCTACATCTTCCCAAACCAAGTCCAAAAAATAATTATAAATCTCAAACCCAACCATGGGGTTATATGTTTAAAAAAAATTATAAAATATTCCATAATTAAATTCAATCACACATTATATTTCTTAAATAAATATACTGACATGATTATAAATTAAAATATTTTGTATATAAATTGAATGATTTCTTAAATAAATCCAATCACATATCATTACAAATGTGAGTTTCAATAAAATCAATAAAGATAAAATTTGAATTCTAAAAATATATATTTTTTTAATATATTATAATTTATTTATTTATTTAATAACGGGTTGGGTTGGGTTGGGTTGAAAATATAAATCTCAAACCTAATCCATTAATATATCGCGATGAAAATATTGGCTCAGTCTGGTCCTATAGATTAAAACAATCTTCCAAAACTCTTAAAAAATAGGGTTAGGCTGGGTGAGTCAACAGGTCGACATCCACCTCTAGCAATTGGTGGTGATATGAACAAATAGGTAGACAAATATGTGGCATGTAAACAGATAGATAGGCAAATAAGTGACACATGGATAGATGTGTAGGGATGTTTTAAAATGACTTATAAGTTGATTTTTTGGCTTATTACTAAAAAATCGTGTAAAAAAATATAGAAATAATGTGACTAAAATAAGCCAATAGGTAAATAAACAATTTATTTATGTGCTCCCCAAAAGAGACCGTAATGTGAGCCAATAGGTGATACTGAATAAATAGACAGATAAATAAATATAGAATTTGTTTAAATTATTATTATATTTATGACCAAAAAAAAACTAGAATATGAGAATATTATTCTAAAATTTTTAAAATTATGGTTAGAATGTTCTCAAAACATGTGTTTGGTTTCAATTTTTTAGATTTTATTTTTTGAAAATTAAGTTTTTTATTTTTAGTGAATATCTTTAAAATTTTAAGCAATTTTTTTACTTTTTTAGATGCAACTTACGTAGATGTATCTAAAAAGTAAAATATTTATAAAAAAATTAATAAATACACAAGAATACCAAAAATATATTGAATTTTCGTACTTTTTATATTTTTAGTATTTAGTGAATTTTGTAAAGATTTTTTTTACAAATATTATACTTTTTAAGTGTATTTATATTAGTTGTACCTAAAAAAAATTTTAAAAAATTGAGACAAAAAAAAATATGAAAAGGAAAAAATTTTAATTTTAAGAAAAGTAAATCCTCAAAATTTAAAACAAGTTGGACATTTTGATCTCAATCCAACCAAGTGGTACAGATTTTTTTTTTTTTTTTCCAAATCTTGAAAATATGTGATTGGGTCGTCAACCGGAACTGTGAGCATTTCAATCAGAAAGCAGTACCTTTCAGCAGGCTATCAGTTTGATTTAAATGCTCTGTAGCTATTGGACCCAAACTCTGGCCTAATTGAATTTGGGCCCTAGCTCTGGTTTTTGTGTTTGTAGTCTGAGGCCCTGTTTTGGAAGCCAAGGTTTGGCCTTTTTTTTAATTAAAATTTACAAAAAGATAAAATGAATTAAAATAATTAATAAAATAAAATATCATATCATATTAAAATTATAATTATTTCACTTTTTCTCTCACAAATATCACATTCAACTACAAAAAAATTCAATTCTCTTCCCAAACATAAATATTTTAACCTACTAAAATAGATAAAAACTAAAATAACCAACTTCTCAAACGAGGGCTTGACCAAATATTAGTTCAAAAAACTTTCTATCACTATGACTAGCCAGTACCCATTAACAAGAGAAGGTGTCTGGTAGGTCTCCCCTACCACATGGCTGTATATCCATAATGGAATAGATGACTGTTTCATGTGGAATATAAGAGAAATAAAAAATAATAGTTACATGACCAATAAGATTGTGAGAGTATATGTATACCAGATAAGATACAGGGCAAACCTATAATATATTTTCTTCATTAACAAATGGTTAAATTACACTCCCCTTTCGTACAGTTTGAAAAAAATATTATTAATTTTATATTTTTAACCTGATTACATTATTTTTTTTCGAGATTTTAATTCATGAAACAGTTTTACCTATTTTTATTGATAATTCATCAGTCATGTAAATAACTTGTAAATAAAAAAATGTTATTAACATATCTATTCTATTAATATATATATATATATATATATATGCTATTAGATGAAAAAAGCACTAATACATGCGAGTTGGTATACATTCGGAATAACGTGAAATTCGGTCGAGACGTGAAAAATGACTTCACAATCAATACACATTGCTATGCCATAGTGTACAATGAATTTCGATCAAAATCTAATGTGTAGACCTCTAAGTTTGCGATTTTGGCATTTTTGAAAATATTTATTTTGTTAATTAATTGGTCTAGAAGAATCCGTTTGAAGCTATGTTTTTTTCTAGAATGTGTAAATTTTATTTTAGTTTTCATATTTGAGCTTAACTCAAATATTTTTATATTTGATAATTTTCGTATTCTCCGTGATTTATGCTTGATTAGCGACCGTTACCTTCTTAATTTATTTCCTATTATAATTAAGATTGATTCTTTTATAAATAACGATTGTAAACCTTAAAACAAAACAACTTATTTTAAAATAAGGAATATGTTTGAGAGCCACAATTTTTGTTGCCACAATGGTTCAAAACTGTCAAAACGACGTCGTTTTGGATGCAAAACATGCCAAAACGACGTCGTTTTGACAGTTTTGAGCAATTGTGGCCATAAAAATTGTGACCCTCTAGCATTGTTGTTAAAATAATTAATATGTTTTCAAGAGAGAGCATCTCTTTTATCATGGTTAATTTTGCGTTTGAGTTTCATCCCATTATTCTGCCCTGCATAAGAGTGAGAAAGAGAGGTCCTTGCCTTGTATTTAATGTATCCTGCCAGCAGCAACACCAGGGGCCAGTGGGAATCATTGCAATGCATTGGCTTTCCAGACTGGATAGCTAGAAACAACTTGCGACACTTTGAGACTGTAAAAAAGACTATTTTGGCATCTTACAAAATTTGAATAACCAGTGGACATAAAGACATTCAAATCCTCCTTCATGTGTTCAAATATTGGTTTTAACATTGGTTCCAAAAATGACCCAACTTCTAGGACCATTTTGCTCTTTTCTGCTCAGAAGTGAAGTCACCTTCATTGTCATTTTTGTCCTCCTTAATGTGCAGTACATGCCCTTTAAAAAAAAATTAAAAATTTATATTATCGTCAATGCTATACATTCAAAATTTTTATGTAGAATTTTGTTCAGAAAAATCAACTTGTTAATTTGATTTATTCGAAGTATAGGACCCACCATACAACAATTTAATCTAGACCAAAAATTCATGGCAAAATTCTACATTTTAAGTTTTATCTGTGTATTATATGTCTTAATTATGAAGATTTGTGATTTTGGCTATGTATCATGTAGTGCTTAGTTATGAGATTTTATAGTTATCAAATTTGTGGTGAACTTGATTATGAAACTTTGTGGTATTTAGATCATCTTTGATCCTTCACCTTTTTTTTTCATAAAATTTAGGTAAAAAATTGGTTAAAATCGTGATTTGATATGGATGCTTCAATGGCTTTTCATCAAATGTAACGAAAAGCTCGCTTTCCAAAAGCTTCTTTCATCAAATTTGGTAAAAAGCTTATTTTTGCCTTGATTTGATGAAAAAATTGATAGAAACTTGATTTGATACAAGTTTGATAAAATGATTGGAGGTCATTTTTATCAAATTTTTCATTAAATTTAAATTTAAATTTGATACAAGATTTGATGAAAGATGGAGATGCTCTTATTTATGAGAGTTTTGTTGTGTTTGGTTAAGGGCCAAATTGGTTTTGGTTACTGCATTTGTAGTGTTTAGTTATGAATCAAAATAGCCTTCGTTATGAGATTTTGTTTTATTTTGATATTAACTGACCTTAATTATGATGCCTTTGGGATTTTTTTTTTTTAATTTCATTTTAATCAATTTGGACCTAATTAGTAAAGCTATGAATTATTTTAACTAAAATTTTAAATGCATATTTATTTGAATCAATTTGGACCTAATTAGTAAAGCTATGAATTATTTTAACTAAAATTTTAAATGCATATTGTACCCACAAATTTCTTGTCTATAAAAATAAAGACAGAAAAATAGAGTAATAAAATATAAATTTATTAATTTAAAATAAGGTGATTACAATCTCTAAGATATTCTTGTACAAAAGAATGATCCTCTGATTCTTCTCTTCAAAAAGTTAACTCAAGAGGCTAACAGCTTATTCTCGAATCGAATGGCGAAATCTCCTCTAAGTAGGACGAAAAAACTAGCAAATTTGTAAGACTTTGAATTGAGGACTTAACAGTTTATTCCCAAATCAGATTTGCATAATCTTCATCAATTTAGTAGAAGAAGACACTAGATATGTAGAGTTTCATGACGAACTTTGATTTGATCCCCCAAACTTTATGCTTTATCGAGATTGATAGGCTTTGGCGGAAAGACCTTCGGGACTTTAGAGGCTTGAATCCGATAGAGTTTTCTCCATTGACTTGATGTAGATTTTTCTCTTTACATGATTTGTATATTTAGAATTATGTGTCAAATTATCTATTGGAGATCACCTCTATTTATAGACATGGGTGGATGAGTCTTAATAGATTTCAATTATTTTTATAATTATCTCTGATTTATTTAGAGATAAATACCAAAATATTACGTTAATAGTGTGTCATAATTTTATTAGTTTGACCACCTCAGTGTAACCAAGTGAGTCCAAAGATTGTCATCTTGAAGAGATTGTAACATTTTGACACATGGCAAATTGTGATTTGACCATTATGTAATCTTTGATTTGAGACTAATTTTGATATTTGATTTATCAATAATTGTATTATATTTTATAAATCTTTATGATATGTGACAATTTGTAGTTAAAATTTTTCATACTTACACATACAATATACACTTTTTAATGATGTGCATGTGCAACCTCATAACATAGTACGTACGACTTGTCTTTTTATTTTTTAAAAAATTTGAAAATAAATTTTGGTAATGAGTATTTTCATAAGATTTTTAAGAAAACAGTTCGTCAAAAAGTTGTGTTTCCAAAAATTGAGAACAGAAAATGAAAATGACCAAACATGGTTAGTTTCCCACAACTTTTGTCTTCTTGGACAAGGGCACCTCCTAGTAAATTGGTAAATTTGAAGTCACCTACTCTGCAAACAACATGCCACCAATTTTGACCTCTTTAGTGGAGATTGCAGTAGGGAGCAGATTCAGCTAGAGGGTGATATTCGGATATGTACATATCAGAAGTCTCATTTTGATAATTTAAATTATTAGTTTGTATAATCTTTTCATGCACATCATTCGTAAAAAATTTAAGACAATTTGATAATCATAATATATTCAATTTATTACGTTTATTTTTTTAAAAAAAAGACAAATATGTTTTTAAAAATAAACTATCTATTATTTTGATGATAAACATAATAAATTGAATAGGTTACGATTATTGAATTAACACATGTTTTTGTGTGAATGATAGACACAAAAAATCCTATAAAATGAATCATTTGAATTATCAAAACAAAACATGTGATATGCACGAGCCCTAATAATACCCTCCAGCCTAGATTTCCACGGAAAGGAAACAGAACCTTTGGGGAATTGTATTGAATCAGATAGCGAAGAAAAATGTGCAAAATTTCTTTACAAATTCACATCACTCTATTAGTCATTTTTTGTTCCTTGACAATTTTTTACTACTAAAGTCACAATAAAGTGCTTTAATCATCAACGAAACAACACTTCAAGCTCCGCCATGGAATGTGTAAAGAGAGAAATATGCTTCATTACATAGTCAAAATTTTGTAGGTTACTGCACAAATCTCTAAATGAAATGAAAGCCGAAAACAAAAAATAAAATAATTAAAAAAACCTAAAACTAAAATCACCACAAAAAGGGAAAAAAAAAAATAGAAAAGACAAAATTTCACTAACTTAAAACTTTTTTTTTTTTTTTTTTAGTAACTTACATTCTTAGTCCATATAATTTAAGTGATATATCAATTTAGTTCATGTAGTTTTAACTTGAACAATGAAACCTACACTTTTAATTTTGTTGAAATGTAGTCCTCCCATCACTTAGAATTATGAACAGAAAAATGATCATCTAAAGGGACCAAAATAGAATTCAAAACAAACTATAGAGACTATTGGTGTAATAAATAAATTACACTACTGGTCCCTATATGTAATTTGTTTTAAATTCCACTTTCATTCCTCTAATTTTGTAAATATTTTTTTCAGTTCAAAATGTTGACGACACATGATAGAGAGGTTATATTATAACAAAATTGAAAGTGTATGATTCAAAAACTTCACCCAAACTAAGGGACAAATAATGTAATTTACCATTTTTTCCCCTCATTTTCATGGTTTGAAAATTACGACAAAGCAAGGAAGGAGAGCTCTAGGATTGAGCAAAAAGAGTTCCTCAATATTTGCATAGAGGCCCATTTTTCCAGCCAACGAGTCAAATCCGGATTGGCTAGTGAGGTCTTGAAAATTCTCCAAAGGCCTATGGACTCTCCCAGCAATCACTCTACATACTATCAGAGCCTTTTTAAGTGAAGAATTTTCATCATCATGTAACTCGATAGATTCCAATGCTTTTTCACTCGTAGAAGTAGTGAAAACACCAATCCCACCTTTGATTTCCTTCTTGGATGAAAACCCATGTCTCAAAATTTCACAAACTTTGCATCTATGTGATGTGCATAGGCTAGATGAGCCGTTGATGCCAAGAGAACATTCAATGGTTGTTCCATGGAACCTCAAGAGCTCGTTCCCATCAGCTAGGCATCGAGGATGTTTCTTTTGCAATTTGCTTGCTTTGATTTTCACCGTTTCTCTGTATTCTTCAAATTGAGCAATTGTTTTTTGCATGTTGTGGACTTTCAAGATTCTCTCAATGTGCCCACAATTTTTTTCAGATTTTGACCACTCAGTTCGGCAAATCATCTCTACTATCTTCCTAGACGAGTCTCCTTCAACAAGTTCAGTGACTGCACAGCAAGAGTGAACATTTTGAGGCCTCTTTAGAAAGGAATAGAAACTCCGAATTTCAAAAAATATGATTTATTGAAAGGCAAAGCATAAGCCAAGGTTAAATATCAAAACTACTCCAAAATTAAATTTAAGAGAGATGTGAAGGCAAATAATGACACAAATCAAGTATCAAAAGATTAAAATTGCACATGCCAATAAACTAAATCCTAGTGAGACATTGGCTTGCAACCACTTAAAATCAAGTCCGTGGTGCTAAAAAAATGCTCTAATGTTTGGCATGCTTATTTCTTGCCAAAAAAAATCAATTTTAGTCATTTAAAGAAGTTATGGGAATATATACATATATATATATATACACCACACAAACTAGCTCAAGGAAGAAAGAGCCTAAAAATCCAAATAGTTTGCATATATGAATTCATTGGAATTTGGAACTTGAATTTACAGAAAGATTTGTGAAGGAAAAAAAAATGTAAGCAAAAAGAAAAAAGAAATCAATGGAGGGTTACTTACTGGCATGTTTGGAGAGATGATGTGATTCAATAGCTTCCCACTTAGTGAATTGTTCACCACATTTATGGCAAGTCAAAGATAAGGAACCAGGAGAATCTTTTCCACAAGAAGGCCTAGGGTTTAGAGGAGGAACACCATTGAATCTTGAGCCTTCCCTCCTTGAAAAGCTCCTAGGTGTATTTCTTTGAAGGGTAGTGGATGAGACCCTATGCTTGTTTTGGTGCACCACCACATGGTGTTCCCCCGGACCAGGTGTCCCAGGCCTCAGTGTACCCACAAAAGTTGACCCATTTCCACCTCCACCAGAACCACCACCACCACCACCATTACTTTCTTGGAAAGCACTACCAACACCTGTTATTTTGATTTCACAAGTTGAATCACTGAAGACAACTTCATGGGTTATTGGGTTGAGAAATTCACTGCTACCAATGGATCTTGGGCTACAACTTGGTGGCTTTTCCATGTATCTCTTGCTTCCATGGATGACATCTTTGAGATTTGAAATAGACCTTGAACAACCAGACCTTCCTGTTTTCTTTGTCAATATGTTGCCAATGTCACCATTAATATTGACCTTTGGATCATGAACATCCGACGGCTCTGATCTACACTGCAGTGATCTCTTCAGAGCAAACCAAACTGCTGGCATCTTCCCTCACCTCTTTCTCTCTCTCTCTCTCTCTCAACCTTCAAGGATTTTCCGCAATTGGAACAAGAAAGAAAAACAAACAAAACAAGGAAGGCAAATTCCACTAATATTATTGTTTCTGTTTTGAGATATAAAACTCACCATATCTGAACCTTGTTTCCATCCTTGGACCAACCAAGAAAACCTCAATTTATAGCAACTTAAAAAAAGGTGTTTGGGAGGAAACCCACAAAAAAATACATTATTTCAAACTTGGATGCACTAAAACCAAAGCTCGATCGTCATAAAAACCATTGTCAGGACCAATGTAAGGGTGTTGTTAATAAATGGTTCTTATGAAATAAGAGAAAGAGCGGAGATTTTTAGCCCCAGAAGAACCAGAAAAAGACAAGACAAAACAATGAAATTTATTAAAGAATACTATTCAAAATCAAATAAATGAACTAACAGTAAAACATGGCAAATAATAGTAGTAGTCATAAGCTAATTAATTCTTGGCCTTTGACATTAGATTATGTGAACCAACGTGAAATTTTTGGGTCAGTGACATCAATGAATGAAGAAGGCTGTACTTGGTCTTCCCATCAAAGGTAAAATAAGAGTAGAAATTAATAACAATTTTGAATTTGGGAGGAATTGCATTTTAGTGGGAATAAGTAAAAATAATTGTGAGAGTAATAAGTGAGTGTTGTGTTGTGTTGTGTTATGGTGCAAATCATATCACAATTTTTACTTACATCATATACAGCACATATCTATTCATACTTTTATGTTTTTATAATTGTTTTTACTTGTTTGTACTGAGATACAATTACTCCTACAATTCACACCTTAGTTTTGGCATTTGGTGGAGTTGTACTTTCTACCCAAGGTCAAGTTGTTATCGAAGGGGTGGAAGAGTCTCAATCCATGCTCAACGCCTACTTGACTAGCTCAAATGGTAAATGTTGAAATTGTTATCAAAGGGGCAGCAAAGTCTAGTCTCAATCTATGCTTAACGCTTGCTTGACTAGCTCAAAAGCAGACAATTGTTGAAATTGTTATCGAAGGGACATGAGAGTCTATTCTCAATTCGTATTCAACGCCTACTTAACTAGCTCATAAGAGACAATTGGAGTATGTAGATGAACTTTGAATGAGAGTTGGGTGAACTATTTCTAAAAATGCCAACTACATATGGCATTATAGGCGGCTTATTTGGAGCATATTACTTTTCAAAGTCTATTCTTTTCATTAAAAAGTTAGAAGGGAGATAAGGGTAATTCTATTACTTAAAAAAAAATGAGTATATTATGTCAATTTAATTACTGCTAATAGCCCACACCCTTTTATTTGGACCATCATCCGCTTTCCCTAGTTCTTTGGACCCCACCAACCAAAATTGCTTCCCAATTTATTTATTTTTTAACTCCTACCATATTCAAAAAATACTCTTTTCTTGGGACCTTCATCCTTGACACCACCTTTCTCCAATAACCTCTGTTCCCTCGCTATTCTCACCTTTAACCACTATTTCACTCTCTCCTAACAGCTCTATACCCATGCCAGGCACCCCTCAAACCCTTCCACTTACCCCAACCACCCTTAGTCCTATCTTTACCACCAGTCGAGAGACTGACGAAGAGAGAAATAAAGACTAGAAAGAGGGATTGAAGGTCGTGATCCCAGCTAGGTGGCAAGAATGGGCTGGAAAAGGGAAGGCGAGGGCGAGGAGAATCGCCGAAGCTAGGGGTGGGCAAGAAGGGTGCCACCCGGAGCTACTAGTAGCTAGGATGGAGGTGGGGCTTAAGGTTAGGGTTTGGAAGGTTTGGGATGGAGATAAAATTGAATTTTGTGTTAGAGTAAAATTGTAATAAAAAAAATATGAAAGGAATAGGGTAGAAAAAAATGAGAGGTAATTCTATTTTCACACACTAATTTCACTCAATTTACATACTTAATGAAAATTTTCATTGATACAATCTAATTTGTTTTTATTTTATTTTATTTTAAAATAAACTATAGATGATAACATTTATATTTTATTTTATTTTTATTGTTTTATTTCAGAATTTCGAAGTTTCATATATCTTCATGCATGGTGTTTAATCTCCTCCTTGTACTGCTAAAAGTTGAATTTTTGCTGAATTGAAAACAATGATAGATTACAAATATATCTCTTTAACGTTTGTTTAAAATATGAATTGTTCTATTGGTTTGAAAAATTACAAATATTTTCTTTTCAAAATTTTTTGTTTAACAGAATTGACTGAAAAAATAAAATATCTAACTGCTCTCACATATAATGATAAAATTACCTTAATTATTAATCGAAATAAATTTTAGACATCATTAAAAACTGTTAATTGACTTAATAATTTATTAATAAAATAGATCATTCGTTATGAAATTGAAAATTTTAAAGAACATAATGTAATTTTTAAAATTACAAGTGACAAATCATATTTTAAAAAAATATTAAGAGATATTTTTAATTCGCCCTTAAAACAAAGATAAAAGTTTAGAGTCAAATGGAAGACAACTGTTTGATCCACATGAATATAATCCCAAATGAAGAATTTTTAAAAGCATTTTCAAAGTTTCTCAGTCATTCAAAGATTTGGTTAAAATAAAAAGAGGTAGCAATTATAATAATGAAATCAATCATGATCACAGTATTATAACTAAATGAGACCTATTGTTGGATAGTGGAATTCAAATGCTATACTTTCATGTTAACATGAGCTTATTAGCCCTCATCGGGATTGGTCCAAGGACTTGGGTCGTTTAAGTAAAGGTTTCGAGTTCGAGCCTTTGTGGATGCAGCAAACACTCTTGGGAGAGGATCCCGCATATGCGCCCGGTAACTTCCTTGACCGATTAGTCCTAGGTCCAAAAATCTGGAGATGCCGTGGGAGACCTTAAAAAAAAAAAAAACATGAGCTTATTAGCTGTGTTGATAATGAACCTGAGAGAAGCTAGTACTTCTGAAATGAAAAACATATTATAAAATCCACTTATATATTTTCCTAAAAATCCTTTAACTTCTTTTCACTTATCACCTACAATGGTTTCATGCCAAGAAACAAGAACGTCAGATTCCACATGCTTTGACTCCAATTCTTTATTAGTTCTTCAAAGGACAACACATGAATACCGTTCTTAAACAAGGCAAAAAAATCAATTGCTCTTGAGGCCATATCATAAATGAATTTATTAAAATCACTCACAAGTTTTTATAATCCAAAAACTCCAAAAGCATAAATGAGAAGAATTACACAATGCGTTTAATGCAAGCCATGATTCATGCGGTGGTAAGTTTGTAATTGGGGTGTGCACCGTCCAATTTTGTGTGATTTGAAGATAAAATTATAATCAAATTATAGATAAGTATGTTATCCATAATCAAACCATAGTTTGGACTGTTAACCTTCAAAAATTATTAAACATTTACATAATATATAATATTAATTTACATAATATTTTATATATATATAACATTAATTTGCAACAAATTTCACATCTCATATATCTCTCACACTAATTTTTACTTTGATATTTTATCAAAAGTAAAAAACAATATATATATATATATATGATAGAGATATTTGGAATAAGAATAAACCAGCAGATAGAGGAAAAGATCACCACGAAACGATACTGAAACGAAAACATGACAACGAAATAGGTTGAGGTCCAACAGGCGGCCAATGCAAGGCTACCGCCTGCTGGTGAAGCGAAATTACTAGTTTCTAGTGGTTATATATAAGAAATATATTATGTAAAATTACTATGTTATATATCTAAAAAATATTATACAAATTAGTGTTATATATTATGCAAATGTATAATAATTAATTAGAATATTCTTCAATCTGTCAAAAACCACCCAAACCGTAATTTGTCAATCCGCTAACCCGCCATTCAGTTTGTAATTTTACTCTCAAACCGTCCGAACTACACCGCGCACACCCCTATATATATTAATTACGATGGAACAGGACAATTTCGAAAACAAATTATAAATTTTAAATAAAGGATCAAACTAACCTCCTTATTTATTACAAGTTGTCACATTACTTCTCTACTTTTCTGCACGTCTTCTTGTGAAAAATTAAAAAACTGTTGAATAAGCCATACTCAAACCATCCTAGCGAATTAAGCGATATTTTGCATTAGCTTGATTTGTAACATTGGCCCTGTTTAGTAGAACTTATTTCAGCTTTTAACTTAATTTAAACTATTTTAATGTATTTAGTTCAGCTTAACAATACAGCTTATAGCTTTTTATAAGTCAAAAATCAACTTATTCTTTGAGTAGGAGAAGAGAAGCTTAATTTATAAGTCAAAAATAAGCTTACATTCACAGTTATAAGTTATAAACTGTTAAGATATAAACTATAATCACTTTCCTACAGCTCTATCAAACGGGACCATTGGATCATTTACCGTCATTTAATTTAAGAATGTCAAAAAAATCAGACCCGATACACGTATACATATACAAAATCAGACCCAACCATACACGTATACATATACAAATCACACTTTTCAGCCTACAAGTTCGAAGGTGAAAATTCAATCCTTGGAACCCCACATAATGTCCACAAATGACGCTAAACAAAGACTCTGCGTCGGACTCCATCCATCTCTAGCTAGTTTCAGACCACCGAGATGGAAGAACACCCATCTTCCCTATTCCAAATTACTTCTTAGGACTGCTGCAGAGAAAAGTACGAGTGGGGTCAAAGGACCAAAGCATTAGAATCTTACAATTTACTGTTTGATTTATACCAACTTGATATGAATTTCAACTACAACGATTCAATTCGTACGATTTGATACTGCCGTTCAAATCTTAAATTGAATAAATTTGACCATTCATTACAACTCTCTATGAATTCACCGTGATCCTCTACGACTCACTGTGATTCAGTTTTGTTAATATATGAAATAATATCATTTTTTAAAAGTACAAATAAAGATCAATAATTATTGTTCGTACAGGATGTCTCTCTTTGCAATGTTGAATCCAAAGCAAAACGCCTGAGTTTGATGTTATAGTTCAGATGTGCGGTGAGGGCTAAATACTTGCCAATTTGCTACTAAATAAGGTAGCAGCACCATTCAGCAGTCATGAAAAGTTGTACCGAAGATTAAAAATCTACTTCACGGCAATAAAAAATCATGACGTGAAATCCTCAGATGAACACTAAAATTCAAGTAATAGCCAAACAGTGCAAAGAAGAAACAAGAGAAACGTTTTCTCACTCAAGTTTTCATACATTAAAGGGGCATATCCACATGATCTTAACAAACACAGACAGAATGGAAAGTATGACGGATTCCAATATGGACTGTAGACATCTCTGCCAATAGAGTCTCAGCTTAGAATAGAAAATAGGAAGAACCAAGAACAGATCTGTGATCTTTACCAAGGTTGCGCCCTCGAAGGCACTCCAGATCCATCACTTGAGAGTGATCCACAAAAAGGTTCACCTGAAAATCCCAGAATGACAGGGATGTTACAAGCAAGTAGGGCTACAAATGATTTGAGCTGTTCACGAGCTTGGGTCAGTAAGGGCTTAAGTATATAAACGAGCTTGAGCTCAAATAAGCTCAGCTTGTTTAGTATTTTTATAACTAATAAGATAAATATATCATTTAACAAACATAGAAATATATTGCTTATATATTTAAATAACGTAAATAACAGCAAAAAACAAAAACAAAAAAACATGATCTTCGAGCTGGGCTCAAGTAGCTTCATTAGTATTGAAGAGCCGAGCCAAGCTCAAGCCCTGCAAAACTCAGCTTGGCTTGTTTCGTTTGCAGCCCTAGTTACAAGCATTTGAAAGGAAAAGATCAAATGACTTGAACGAAAGAAAAGGTTGAGATCGAACTACCTTGGGACCATATTGTTTAATGAACCACTCAGAAGTATTGGCATTTGATGCTTCAAACATGGTCTTCTCAAGTCCAAGACGCCCTATGACCTTAGCAATGATGTCTGCTCGTACAGAATCAGCATATTGGCAGACATCATCAGCATCAATCATTATCATGTCTGCCCCAGCTTCTAAGCATCTTTCGGCTCTCCTGATCAAAAGATCAACATCCTCAACAGCTTCTGTGGGAAAAGCACAATATTGCAAGGTAAATGGAAGTATTTCTACTACCTCTACTATCACATTTTCAGAGACATTAGATCTAATGGCCTTAATTGTAAAGTATGGGCCTTCATATTATAAATGATTACCATGTATTGTTAAAATAAATGCTATAGTCATTGCTTTGGAGCTAAATATTATGAATGATTACCATGAATTGTTAAAATGAATGCTATAACCATTGATTTGGAGCTAAATGAAGCTTCCATGTCAGTTCTGTTCAGAATAGTCAAACAAGGCAAACTGCTCTCTCTAACTTTTTAGAGACTAAACTTCCATTAATCAACTCAGTGACTTAGTGCCAAGTTTATGAAAGTCTGTTTTTTTTTTTTTTTTGCAGAGGCATGAAATTCCATCCACATTTTGGTTGCTCAAGAACTGACAACTCATGAATGTGTTATTAATGTTTTGTATAGAAATGGCAGCATTGCCACAAAAGAGGATGACATTCCAAATACCTAGTGAAGAGCTGTTAACCACAACTGTGTTCACGTGGCAAAATTGTTCACCATTTTTAGCTTCTACCACTTGCACTATGTTTGGATATTTGGTTTGTAGAAGGAAAAGAAATGGGAAGGGAAAAGTGAACAAAATTTAGCTTCTACATCATACACTTTTCCCATCTTTTTTTTCTTTCCCTCCACAAATCCGAAATCTAAGCACAGCCCTGGGGGCATTTTGAGTCTTAAAGATTAGGAAATCTAATAGACAGAATTTTAATGCTTGAAATAGAATATATATCACATTATCCCTTAAAAGTTTCCCAACAAGTACCTTCTATATCAGTTCGAGATATTTGTGTTCCATTTGCTTTTAGTTCTTTAAAAGCTCAACCAAGTAACAATTAATTAAATGCTATAAAACGAAATTAAAGACACCCAATCAGAGTAACCAGAAAATGTATGTACACCTTGACATGGAAATTTTGTATTCATTTTCAATGCTAAGTTTGACAGTGCACCCATTGAATTTTGGAAGCACGACCTCTAGGAACCCTAAATCATCTTACAGCATCACCTTTCAAGGCGAAGTGTTAAAATCTCACTCAGCCTATATATGGGAATGCGTTGGTGTTTCCCTATTTTTCATCCTAGTTATTGACACGGGAAGGAATCAAAATATATCAAGCTTATACTTTACCATATTTAATTTCACTTGCAAAAATGCTACAAATGCATTTTCTGAATAGATTGGCCAATAGATGTCCTAAAATTGAATATGTGTTGGCAATTAAGCATGTTATGACAAAAAATTGTTCAGTTCCCCATATCACTTCTTTTTAAACATCAATAATTACTAGTTATGCATTCAAACAAATATCTTACGAAAATTTCAAATCCATATGTTGACAAGGGAATCAAATTAAAATATATGAAACTTTGAATCAAACACTAATAATAAAAGGCACCGGCATACCAGATGATCGCGGCACTGGGACCACATAAGCTCCAAATGCTCTATCACCTTTCATGGGTATATCAGACTTGTTAAACTTGACAGCAAATTGAGGCTTGGCTTTCAGGCCACCACTCTTAATCAATCGGATAAATCGCAAGAGTGTTTCTTCAGGAACTCTGAGTGATCCCACATTTAGCTCAATCGTATCAAATCCCAATTGTTTACACTCCTAAAACAACAAAAATAAGAGAGACTATTATTGCGAAGAATTGCAATACTTGTTTTCCTTTCTTGTTGATAAATGAAAAGTGCTTTAATACACTATTGCAGAGAAAAATAACAAAATCTCTTTCACACCTCTATGTATTCTTTGAAAGCAGATGGACCTTTATGAAGCAAATGTTCAGCCCAGTCGCCAGTACTGACATATACATTGTGTTTGTGGGCCATGTTTGTCACTTCCTTGATGTAAGCTTTTGGCATCAAACTATGAGAGCCTCCAGAAAACTTTAACCCATCAACAAAATGTCCCATAGACTCAAAAATATCCTATACAACATAGCACAGCATAGTTAGGACACCCAGTCAATCATGTCACCTTCTGCGACCATCCAACTATATGATACAAATCTTGCTACAACAATCAAGGTGCTCCAAACCCATCTTTTGTCAAATACTAACACGGTCCATAATAGCAGGTCAACAATTGGTCGTATACCAGGAAAGAGATTTGTTGCATATTAGCCATCTCTCCTCACTAGTAGAACCGATGTAGCAAGTAGGTAACTATTAATTTTTTTGGATTGATAAGTAGGTACCTAGAAAAATTACTAAGCAACTTAATCCATATACGGATATACAATTCATTTGGATCTGAAAATTTAGTAGAATTTTATGAGATTTATTTTCACGAAGTCTTTCTAAATAAAAGCCTCAAGACAAGAATCCAAGAATGAGGCTAATTTTTCGAGTGGTGATCAAATTTAAAAATAGAAAATAATACCTTCATATGAATTCCATGCAATTAGAGAATTATCTTTCAAAAACTAGGCTAAACTACAGAGAACAGAAGTTTGGTGACGGGTGAAAAGAAGCAAAATGGTTTGGTAAGGCCTTTTTGGCTATGAAAGAAAAGAGAAAGAGATGCATCAAGTTTGCAAAGCCATACTACTCTATGCCTGCAATGTCACATGAGTGCCAAGAGGGTGGTGCATTCAGTACAGAGGCAAGGTCGATGATTCTAAATATTGATGAGAAAATTCCCTACTTTTTCCTATGAATTATAAATACAATAGTTCCCACGTGAATCTCATTAATATTCCATCATGAGTCTGACACATTAGCTGATAAAAACAAATATATATATATATATATAAGAAAGAAAAAGATCTTGTTAACATGTGATGGTTTAAAAGAATTGCACATTTTTTATTACATGTACTTTCATACAATATGTACAATCCTTTTAAGCTTCTTAATAGATGCCCTGTGTTTGGTTCATGGATTTGTGGAGGGATTTAGAAAGGGAAAGGAAAAAAGTGTGTGAAATTAAACATATTCTATTCACATTTCACCCACATTTTCCCTTTTCCTTTCCAAATTCCTCCCCAAATCCTTGAATCAAGCACAGCCTAAAGGCACACATTAACAAAATTCTTTTAAAAAAATAATAATAATAAAAAAAAGAAGTCTTGCTAATGACAGCCCTTAGGGCTATCAATAAGCACAAAACAAAACACCAAAATACTTATAAACTCAATACACTCTTGACATATCCCAAAACAATTTCTCACATTTCCATACACAGCAATACATTAACAACCACCTCAGGCCTGTTTTTAGCACTTTCCATTTCTTCTTTGTAGGCATCCTATCTATCCAAGCAACTGGCAGAAAATTTCTACCAAACACAATAGATTAATCTTCAACTGGCGAATATCAGTAGTAATAGCAATACTACCAATGAAGGTACACAGACTATATTACGACTATCCTTTATGTTAATTCAATTATTACAACAGAAGAAAATTTAACAGGAGAGCCTTTTTCTAACATAAAACAAGGAATGATTCATTATTGTTAGCATGCATGCATGCATATATTTTCCTATTGCTACTTATGACCAAGATTGTGTGGAATGGAGTGGTTTGAAAGGAGGCTTTCTAAATCGACCCAGACCATTAAAATTCGAATCTAAAAAGCTAAGATTTTTCCTCAATTCACCTTCAAATCCCCAATAATCGCCCACATTGAGAAATTCAACTCCAATAGAACGTCCATCAAAATACACTACAATTCCGATCACTGTTCTAAAACCTCCTAAAATAACATCTTCATAGAAAAATTATAAAATTCGAGTAAAAAAAAAGAGAACCCCGATCATGAAAAACATAATACTAATATAAATAGAAATTAAACAATCTAGGTCATTAACTACATCAATGAAAGCCCTAAAATTGGAAAGAATTGAAGGAAATGAAGAATGAGAGAGAAATTGAGAGAGAGAGAGAGAGAGAGACCTGAAGGAGGTTTTGAGTGAGGAGGGTGTAGTGAGGGCCTCTCATCTCCGTGACACCAAAGGTGCGAGGCTTCTCAGGACGATCTTCGTCCTCGAAGAAGCTCTTCCACCGATATGCTGACATTTCTCTTCTCTTTCTTTCACACTCCACAAATTGCCGAACGTAGAGAGAGACAGAGAGAAGAGTTCTTCACTTTCGAACCGCTTATCTACGTGTATAGAGGGAGAGGAAAGAGAGAGAGATTAGCAGTGTGGCGAAGCGTCTAGGTGGTTCTGGATTATGAAAAAAGTAGCCAGCAGAGCAGTCGTCATCATGGGCTTGTTTGAAACTATTTTAGGGGTCGTTTGGTAGTGATGTTTTGAATTGGTTTTTCGGTTTTTTTATTTTTTTTAGTTTGGGATTTTTTTTTTGTTTGTTTGATTTTTTTATTTGACTTTTTAGTTTTGGAATAACAAATTTTCTGTTGAATTTTTTGATTTTTGACTTTTTAGATTTTTTTTTTTTTTTGGGTCATTTTATGATTATTTAGTATGGAAAGTTTGCCAAATCAGAACTTAATTAGTTCTTTGTTTTTTAAATTATTTTAGTTTCATTAAAGCAATTATGGTTAAAAAGTTGGTGGATTTTTTTTAAAGTTAATTTGATAATTATAAGAGGAAAAATAAAATAATTATCAATTAGATGTAACATTTTATTTTATTAATTGTTTTAATTTATTTTATGTTTTTAATAAATTATTTTTTGGTAAATTACAAATACACTCCTTAAGGTTTGATTAAAATACGAATTATCCCATGTGATTTTAAAAATTACATTTCACCCCTTAAAGTTTCTAATTTCATAACAAATCGTCCGTTTTATTAATAAATTATCAAGTTAATTAACAGTTTTTAGGTCTTGTTTGTCATCCCTTAAAAAAGTCAAAAAGTCACTATTCTATTTAAGAGGTAGTTTGGGATGATCTAAATAAATGCACTTTTTGACTTTTTATGAAATATGAGTTGAATTTGAAGTGATTTTGTAGAAAGATGATGTGACTTAAATATGATAGTGACTTTTTGACTTTTTGGCTTTTTTAAAGTATGCCAAAATAGGCCTAAGTCACGTCATCTTATTTAATTCGCATCACCTCTTTACCACGTTACTTCAAATCCAACCCATATTTCATAAAAAGTCAAAAAGTGCACTTATTTAGGGTTGGTTTGGGAAGTGGGTTGGCTTTTTGGCTTTTTGACTTTTTTAGCTATTTTAGCTTGGGTTAAAAAGCTTAGTTTGGGAAGGACTTTTTTGTTTTTTTTGACTTTTTTTGTGAGAGAAGAGTGTAATGATTATGGGCTGGATGTGATGTTTTGTTTGTTGTGACTAAAACAGCCTATTTTGTCTTTTGTGGCTAAAATAGCCAAAAAAACCCACAAAATCCCTTCCCAAACGGTGCCTTAGAACATCCCAAACAACCCATTAATGATATTAAAAATATGTTTCAATTAATAATTTAAATAATTTTATTATTGTATAGGAGAGCAATTATGAATTTTATTATTTTAGTTAATTCTGTTAAATAAAAAATTTTAATGAAAGAATATTTATAATTTTTTAAACCACAAAAAATAATCTATATTTTAAGTTAATTCCATTATTTTAACTCAACTCTCTCCAAAAAAAAAAAAAAAAAAAATCCCCCATATCGATCTATTTGAACAGACGTCAGTCTTGTCTTTTAAATTTTAAAAAATGTCACAATTTAAAATTAAATATTCAAGAGATATCAAAAAATTTTATCAGAAAAATTTACCAAAGATTCAAGGCGTAGATCCCACATGAATGTAGACCCACGCATTTATTTTTTATCAAAAAAATTTACCAAAGATTCAGGGCGTAGACCCCATATGAATGTAGTCCCACACATTTATGCGAGTGATGTAATAGATTTATTGATAATTTTATTCATTTTGTTTGGTTTTTGAATTTTAAATTTATTTTTTAGAAAATTGAACTTTTCATTTTTTATTGATTTTTTTAATATTTTAAACAAATTTTTTAATTTTAATAGCATCTCCAATGGCTGTTGCTATAATATTATTGCTATTGTTATAATTTGACAATGAATAGTGCTATTTTGTCAAATTATAGCAATGGTGCTCCAATAGTCCTATGCTAATTTGGCAAATCTCAACCAATTTTTCTTCGAAGTTTGTAAGTGTTGTTTGGATATAGATTTTTTAGTTATTTTTTTGTTTATTTTTTGTCTTTTGTGACCTTTTTTTAATTGTTTCTAAAAAAATTATATATTTATATTATTCCTAACTAGAAAAATATAAAAATGAATAAAAATTTTTAAAAAAATTAAATATAATTCACCCCACCAAAAATTTAAATTGAAAATTTGTGAAATTTTTTTTTTTTTTAAGCAAAAGAGCACAACGGCTCTCTTTCATTTCCAAGACAAGATCACCACCATCCGTGTCCCCAGGTTCCAACGGTTAAGATGAATCATCTAGAATCATCCAACCCATTCTTCCCCAAAAGTGATGGAGTCTGCCTCACTCTCCCTCTCACACACTCTCTCTCTCTCCGAAGATCATGGTGTTTCCTTCTCCATCTCCCTCTCAATCTCCCTCTCCCTTTCCTTCTCACTTTCACACTCTCTCTTTAAAACCAGAGTGTGCAGAGAGAGAATCAAATGTTATCAATCCCTTCTCATGATGTTGTATAGGCATTGATACCATTGCTGATCTTATTTAATAAACAACAGAATCATTTAGGACATATGCCATTCATGGCTACGCTTTGAGATGGGAAATTTGACACATTTGAAAATCTTGATCATGCTATACAAAAGGTACTATTTTCTATTGTAGCTCCTTTTTTTATTCTTCAAATATCAATTTAGCATATGTGTTGTTTTTGTTTCATGAAATTATTGCAATTCAATGGCTAAACTAGGTTTCTGATGTTTAGATTATATGTAGAGAGCAATATTGGCCATGATTTGATTTTTTTTGTTTTTAGAGTTATAGTAGATTGTCAATATCTATAATCTATTACAAGCATCCTATGCCCTTGAGTTTTGTTTTAAAAAAAAATTCGTGAATTTCGCAAAATGAAAAATTGATCTGTTTTTGTTTGAGTTTTTCTAGAAAATGATGAGAAAAGGAAACGAGAGAAAGAAGAAAATCAATTGGTTTTGGGTGAGTTGGCAAATTTGCCATTTGCCAAGATTATTGTCAAACTTGGCAACAGTTTTGGCATTTGTCATTTTTAATATATAGCTGCTATATTTCATCATTGGAGAAACTTTTTTTCTCAAAGCTGCTATATTATAGCTTTGGCAGCTTCAATGGCAAACCATTGGAGATGCTCTTAGATACAACTAACATAAATACATTTAAAAATTGTAATATTTATAGAAAAAATCTTTAAAAAATTTACTAAATACCAAAAATATAAAATACAAAAATACAAAAAATAGTACATTTTTGTATTTTTGTGTATTTATTTATTTTTTAAAATATTTTTTTATAAATATATTACTCTTAAAGTATATCTAGGTTAGGTGCATCTAAAAAGTTTTAAAAAAAAAATGCTTAAAATTTGAAAAACATTTATTAAAAAATACAAAAAATAACAAAACTCAATTTTTGAAAAATTAAATTCAAAAAATTAAAGCCAAAAAAGGTGATTGGTATCCCTAGCACTTTTGTAAATTATTGTGAAAATTAATGAAATATCTCTCTCCAACTTTTTATAGTAGGAGAAGTCCAAGATATTTTTTTTATTAGCTAAGATCCCTCAACATTTTCACAAAGAAAATTTGACTCAGAGAACTTTTGCCCAACTCAAAGAAATTTCACTCGATTCAGAGAAATTTTGGTCCCAACTCAGAAAAATTTCAAAATTTCTCTGGTATGATCATAGAGAAATTTCAAATTTCTTTGTAAAATCAGAAAAATTTCTTTATGAAAATTAAAATTTCTCTGAGTTTGTGTGAAATTTCTCTGAGTCAGGAAAAATTTCTCTTAGTCGAATTTTTCCTATAGAAATGTTGAAAGACCTTAACTACTATGAAAATATTATATATCTTTTATCTTATAAAATCATAATATCAGAGATATTTAAAAAAATTCCCCAAAATTATTATCTATGTTCCAAAGCCGATTGAAATATAAAAAAAAAAAATGGAATAAAGCCTAATCAAATCATGAAAATGCAAGTAAGTGTGGTTTAGAATTGCAATTTTTATCAACTATATCATTATTTATAATATAATCACAATTTGCTCAATAATCAAGTAATATGTCATTATTTTATAATTAAAAAATTATTTAAATGATTCTTTAGAACTAATTCTATTATTATACAAAATCACACTCTTGAGTATCTATTATTAATAACAAATCTACACTATATATTATAACAAAGGCACTTCTCGTGAAAAAGGCTATATGAGCTCCAAAGTTCCATCCTCAACATTTTGTGAAAGAGACTATGAGAATTTCAAAGTTTTATTCTCAATTTCATATTTTTTGTAATTTTAAAAATATTACTACTTATAACAAATTCAAAACTTTCGTTATTATTTTCACACTTGCACCACGCCCTCTCGTGAAACTTCCTAAGCACTAGGGGTGCAACTTGGACGGGCTCAACCCGAGTAACCCGAGTCCAGTTCGAATTTTTTAGGGCTTGGACCAAATATTTTCAAATTCAGTACTGGCTTGGGCAAAAATTCAGAAGCCCGAATTAAATTTGGACGGACTTGGGCAAAGACGTTAAACAACCCGAGCAACCCGAAACCCGAATTATACATATATAGATATATAAAAAATATTAAATATACATATAAATTATTAGTCATTACATGATATTAAAGTAATTTATATTATTAAATCATACTGAATATATATTATATATACAAATAACATAAAATCTTACTTTTTTTGTTTTTATTTTCACTTATAAATTGTAAAGACTACTATAGTGGCATCTCTCTCACATTATATAAATTATTTGTTTTGATGGTATTAATGATTTTCTATAAATAAATAAAAATTATAAATAGAGTCAAATTTTAATAATTTAATAATTCCCGAAAATCTCAGGGTCGGGCCTGTATGTATGGTATACACGTCATAACTTTTTTTTAAAAAATTCGTAACATAAACCACAAAATGTCATAATTCTATCACCAAAAAAGTTATAATTTACAAAGTGTTATGACTTTACCATTCACAACTATAGGGTGGACATCATAAATTTATTATTCATAATTTTGCCACAGAATATCATAACACACGCTACAAACATTCATAAGTTTCTATATTAAGAATACAGCGATCCCGGTTTTGCCTCGACCTTCCTTGTGTTTCGGACTCGGGTTCCGTGGTTGAATATTGTACCCATGTCTTATTTTTCTCCTTTGAACTCTTTGTATTTGAGTTTTGGAACTTGCTGGGTGAGTTTGGAACAAGTTGGTTTTGAGTTTTGGAACTTGCTGGGTGAGTTTGGAACAAGTTGGTTGTTAGTTGGTCTGGATTGTTATTGCCCAGATTTTGGCTTCTTGCGCTCGAGCGAGCCTTATGAAATTTGCTCCTTCGCTTGAGCGAGGTTTCTTGGCTCGAGCGAGGATTGAGAGTCCTCAAGTTTCCTTTCCAAACACAGCTTTTCTGAGAAAATGAAGTTCTTCGCTCGAGCGAGGCTTTCTGCGCTCGAGCAAGGGTGTGCGTCTGTGAAATACCTGAAAGTATGCATTTTACGCTCAAGCGAGGTCGTTTGTTGTGTCTAGTCGCTTGAACGACAACTCCTTTGCTCGAGCAAAGACCGTGTATATCAGTTCGCAACAGAGATATTTTGCATCACTTTTTGAATTCTTTTCTCCTAAAAACCCTAATCCGACACCTCCTCTCTAAAACTCTCTCTCTCTCTCTCTACAAATACTCTTTGATCCAAGCACCACTACCCTACTTCCTTTGAGAAAAAGGTGGAACATCTTGTGGGCTTCCATTCCATCCAAACCAAGCTTGGTTTTGTGCATTTTTGAAGATCTCCTTCTTCTCCTTTGAGCTTCCACATTTGAGGTAGAGATATTCTTCTCTTTAACATGGGTTTTAACCTAAATATTGGTCATTTTGTATAAATGGTAGAATTTGGAAGATTTGGGTGAAGTTAGGGTTTGGGTCCAAAATTTAAAAGAGGGGTTTCCATATTGGGTTCCATGAATACATAATTGAGGTTTAAATAGGAGGTTACATGGGTTGAAATGATGAAATTTGGACTTAGAGTTGATATTTGGAAAAAAAGGAAAATTGCCCTAATTTGGGTCAAATAATTATCTTATATAAATAATGAAATTGATATAGGAAATATGAAATTGGAAGGGTGTATAAATGAATGGTGTAGTTGGATTTGTTAAATCACTCATATATGGAAATTTGATAAATTATCTGTTTAATAAATTATATATCTGTTTAGAAAATATCTGTTTTGGGCTATTGGTGAAGAATAGCTATGATTGTTGTAGAAACTTCATGAGGATTACGTGAATTGAAACGAATCATTTGAATCATGTCATTGAATATAACGGTTTGATTAAACTATTAAATATGTGATTTGGTTAGTCATTGTATATGACAACGCTTTTAAATACATTTGTATATGTATCATTGTTTGGGAGGAGATAGGGGATGTACTCCATTGTTTGGGAGGAGATAGGGGATGGACTCCATTGAAAACTAAGTTGGCCTGAGTGTCGAGGGTAAAAGTCCCGAAACTTTATATGTGTATTTGGGTTCCAATTCCCTCGGGTGAGATTCCGTAAAACGGCAAAAAGTTTGAAGTGTTTGGATAATGAATGTTGTTGAATTGTAATGAATGAGTTGCAGTCTCATTTGAAATTGTTTGAATAATAAAGAACTATACTTTTGCATCGATTTGAAATAGATTGATGGAAATGAATTATGATATGACAATCAATATGGAGCGACAATGAAAAGAATGTAATTTGACCTTGAGTATTGGATCTCTATTTGACATCTATATCTTAGTTAAATCTCATATGTTGTTTTAGCATATCTCTACTGGGCTTTGGTTCACCCTACTTGGAAAATCATTTTCAGGTACTGGTGACATACCACCTCCAAGGACATAGCTTGGGAGGATTAGGGGTTGAAGGCTCCATTTTGTTATTTGGTTTTGTGTTAAATGTTTATTCAAGTCGAAAGCTTTATATGTATAGAGCTAGGACTCTTTCTTTTGTTGTAACTAAGTAATAACTTGAGAAAATATAAACCCGTAGAGTGTTTATTTGTTGTAATCAATTAGTGTGACATGCTGTAGTTTCAGAATGCATATTTATGAAAGTATAATGCATATAATATCTTTTGTAATATAATCTCTGATGAATGAAAGTATTGCAGTTTCTTTTATGTTATGAACCTCTTGGGTTGGTTTATCTTCTTTATTCTAGGGGCGTTACAAAGAAAAATTGGGTTTTTAACCCATAAAGCTTCAAAGAGCTCCAATATCTTAATTTTAATTTTCTAATTTTCTGATTAAAAAAAAACTCCCACCCACTTTTCAATTTTAGCCTTTTTGAATTTTAAAAAATCCTAAACCCTATCCATCAATTTTTTCCTTTTGACCTCCACAGTAGCATTTTATTTTTTTATTCTCACCTCTACAATCACAATCTTCAATTGAAACCTCTAGTGGCAATCTTCAATTGAACAACCTGTAAGTAATTTTTTCATTTATTTTTTTAATGCTTGTTTTTCTTCTTTTTATTTATTTTTTTATTATGAGCAAAAATATGATTGTGTTTCTTAATTTATTGTGTTTTTTTACACTCCGTTTTAATTACATGATAATTGTATTTTTTAATTGATTGTATTTTTTTACACTCTATTTTGATCACATTGTGAGAAAAAAATTGTGATTGAGTTTTTTAACTCACTATGTTTTTTAAAGAAAAAAATGATTGTGTTTTTTAACTATCAATTGACTCAATTTGTAATTGAGTTTTTAACTCACTATATTTTTGGGAAAAAAAAATGATTGTGTTTTTTAACTATCATTTGACTTCATTGCTTTTCTTTTCATTTATTTATTTTTATTATAAGCAATGAATGAACTATACTGCTCGCTTTTCTTCTCATCTATTTGTTATGAGTGTTGAAGATTTACACTCCATTTTAATCCGACAGTGTGAAAAAAATGCGTTTGTATTTTTAATTGATTTTTTTTAACACTCCATTCTAGATCACATGGTGAGAAAAAAAAATTGTGATTGAGTTTTTTAACTCTCTGTGTTTTTTGAAAAAAAAAATGATTTTGCTTTTTAACTATCAAGGCAAAGTTCTAATTTTTCAATCTTAATTTCAGACTTTTTAAATTTTAAAAAAAAATGCTAAACCCTAACTCTTTTTTTTTTCACCAACTTTTTCATCGATTTTTTTATTTATTATTACTTTATTTTATGTTTGGCTTTATTAATTGTGTAGATCCATGAGAATTTAATGCTATTTAATTAATTTAATGTGTTATTTAATTATGGGTAATTAATATGAATATTGTTATATTTATATTGTTTAAAAAAAGGTGTTTATATATTGATAAAATATATATCATATTTATATTTATATATATTGTATTTATGTTGTATTTTTTATAATATAAATATAATATAGGAAAAATTAGTCTAAGGTCCCTCTCCCACTTTTAATAATGGAAGAGATCCACAATATTATTTTTTGATGTCTAAGGTCCCTACAGAGAAATTTGATATACCTCACACCTTCAAACCATCACCCTCCTCTCTTTTCTCTCTCTTTCTCTCTCTTTCGTCGATCCTCTCAACTAAGCCAGAACTTTCCTAGCCCCATTTGCTTCCAACCATATGACCGAAGTCCAGAAGCTCATGGCATGTCTATTGTGGGCTGGTAGGCTCGATACCTCACCCTATTCTGAATTGCTATCCTCATCCCATTGGGACAAACTTGCCGAGGAGCTAACCCGACAATTCTGTAACATTTTGGGACAGTCTTGTAAGAGTCCACTGAATGTGACGATTGCAGCAGGAGTCCAAGGGTTGCCGACCCTTCTGAAGCTGATGAATGTGATGACGGGGAAGAAGCAGGAATGGCAGTCCATGAAGCAGTTACCCGTGCCGGTGGATTTGGATAGGGAGTTTCAGTTCCATTCCATCTTTGTATGTCCAGTGAGTCGAGACCAAGCAAACGAAAAGAACCCTCCAATGTTGTTATCGTGTGGGCACGTGCTCTGTAAGCAGTCGATCACAAAGCTGTCGAAGAATAACAGCACAAGGCCTTTCAAGTGTCCATACTTTCCGTTGTGTTAATCCCAGTCATAAACAAAATTGACCAGTCAACTGCTGTTCCAGATCGTGTTAAAGCTCAGCTAAAATCCATGTTTGACCTTGACCCAAGTGATTGCCTTTTGTCATGTACCAAGACGGGGTCAAGGTCTGGAGCAGGTCCTTCCTACTATCATAGAGTGAATACCTCCTCCTCCAGGGAACTGTAATTCATCTTTGCGTATGCTTTTGTTGGATTCTTATTATGATGAGTACAAAGGAGTGATATGCCATGTGGCAGTTGTTGACGGTACTTTGCGCAAGGGAGATAAAATTTCATCTGCAGGAACTGGTCAAGTCTCTGCTTTGAATTGAAATTTCTCTGGATTGGTCCATGGTATTAAGGTTTTTCAGCAACAACCATCTAGCTTTGAATTTCTCTGGTCCAAACCAGAGAAATTCTCTCCAAACTAAAAAAATTCTCTCTGGTTTACTTAAAATTTTCTTTGATTTGTTTATCATTTTCCCTGCCTTCAACAACAACAACCATTTGAATAAATCAACCCCAACTATTAATTAAACAACAGATTTAAGAACATAAACCTTGCAATGGTTTGGACCAGAGAATTTCTCTGGATTGTTCAAATTTATCTGGTTGTTCAAATTTCTCTGGGTTGTTTAAATTTCTCTAGTAGGTCTTTGGTTTGTTTAAATTTCTCTGGTTGTTCAAATTTCTCTGACAGGTCTTTGGGTTGTTCAAATTTCTCTAGAAGCTTTGTTATTGCCTCATGCTACCTCCAGTTAATCATTTGTCATGTTGTGTATTTGTGTTGATGCTATCAAAGTGCTCTTGCTTATATGGCTTTCATGGTGCTACTACAGCTACTTATTTGATGTAGAAAGAAGATGATGATGATGATGATGATGATGAAGGCTATCAAAGAATTTCTCTAGATGAAGAATTTGAATTTGAACTCAGAGAAATTGGTCTAAGGTCTGTCAAAATGATTTCATAAAATGATATTGTGATCCAGAGAAAATTGGTTAAAATGAATCCAGAGAAATTTGAATTTGAATTTGAAACCAGAGAAAATTGGTCAAAATGAACCCAGAAAAATTTGAATTTTCTCTGGGTTTAACCCAGAGAAATTCTTTGGGAAGTCCAGAATTTCTTTGGAGCAAATTTCTCTGAACAGAATTTCTCTGGATTGAAATTTCTCTGGATCAATATTGAGGGACCTTAGACATTATGAAAATATTGAATGTCCTTTATACTATAAAGTCTTAATACTAGGGACCTAAAAAAAAAACCCTATAATATAACGTTAATAGGTTATCATATATTAAACCTAGGTTATTATAATCATAAAGTGTGTGTGAAGTTTTCCAAGAGGGACACAACAGCCGAGAGAGAGAGAGAGAGAGAGAGAGAGAGACTATGATAAAGGGCTGTTGTTAAGAAGAAGAAAAAAAAAAAAACAAACAAACAAAGGAGAAATGGCGGAAGAAAGAAAGAAAAGAGGAGAGAAAAGAAAAAAAGGGTTAGGGTTTTGTTTTGATGGCTCCATTAGTTCTTTAAATATTTATTTGATCTTCAAAAAAATAATTGTGAGTGCAAAATCCACTTTCCTTGATTTATGTTTAATTTGTTATTTTTATTTATTTATATTTATTTGATGTTAGTTTGATTTTGTATTTACATGTAGATGATAGATTGATTTTAATTATTTTGATTAGTTGTGTATGTCAAGTTTAGGGTTTTTATATGGATTTATTTTATGGTTGTAATCACACTCATGGATGGTTATATGAAATTAAAATAAACTAGGAACCTATAGATAAATTCCTTATACTCTATGATGACGGGGTATGTTATCCGCCTCGTTTCCTTTGTTTAACCTTGGGTTTGCCTTGTTAGAGTAACCGGGAGTCTAGTTAACAGTTTGAGGTTTGTTGCATTTGAAAAGTTTTCTCAAAATCCTTGTCCTTGTTTATTTTTGTGTGTAAGTTCCACATGTTTCGAAAGGTACACGGTTGAGTCCGGGGTGTTCCAAGTCGAGCTGGAGTGATTTTGGGCTGAGAGGCTGAGCCGCACGTGCAGAAGAAGGGTCACACGTAGGGGAAACATGGGAGAACCTGGGCTGCCTACTGCATTAAAGACAGGTGCGGTTGGTGGTGCGGGGTTAGGGCGTCGCACGTGCGGGACTCTGCGGAGTCCAAAAATTTGCTTTTTTTCTTTTCTTGGGTTGAATGTATATCATTCTATACATCTCTCTCTCTCTCTCTCTCTCTCTCTCTCTCTCTCTCTCTAAAAACCCCTTTTTCTCCCTTCTCTCTACATTTTTTACCAAAAACCTCACAAGATCATTGATCTCTTCAAATCCATTAGCATTTTGACCCAAGTTCCTTTATCAAAGTTGGATAACTTCTCGAGGGTTTCGTTGTGTGCGGTGGAGATCGCATTTCAACACCGTCAAATTTGGGGGTTTCTCATCCCTCCTTCTCCAAAACTTGAAGTAGGGATTTTCTTAGAGTTATATATACGTTTTTGCAAGATTTGTGTTGTCTTTGGAGCTTCTTGTTGATATTAAGAAAAAAAAAATTGATTTTTGGCTCAAGAATGGTAGAAGTTTTGAGAGTGGTTTTAATCTTTGATTCTTTCCAAGCTTATTCTTGAGGGTTTCAACTACAATGTGTGAGTAATAATACTTTGGGTGAGTTGCTTTTCAAAGAGATGAAGATATTCCTTTTGTCAAAAACCTAGAAATTTGAGTTGTTAAAAAGGGTTGAGAATCTAGTAAATTTTATTTACTTACTAGTATGCCATAGTGAATGAATGATTGAGAAATTTCTTACTTGATTTTTATATAAAATGGTAAGCTATGTTGAACATAAGAAATGATGAATTTTGGGATTTAGTGTTGAAGTTGTAGATATAGTCATCAAATGACTAATTTGTTGAGACCCCATGAAGTGTGGTGATGTTGTTTCTAATGATGAAATTTTTATAGATATATGGTAACCTTGTGAAATGCATTGGAAAGAAAAATGGGAATTTGATTATAAAGGGAGTATTTGTGTGGAAGTTTTGTAAAAAGGAAAGATGTTGCACCGCATGTATAACCATTGCATTGCATGGATAGTTGTTGCATTGGCATTCCAATTCTTTACTTGTTATAAATGTTAAATTGGGATTTGAAATTTTGCATTGAGAAAGAAACATTGTGAAACGAGAATTATTGAAATGTTTTGGGATAAATACGTTGGTAAGTCCGGATACGAGGTGTAGATGAAATTGATTAAGTTGGCCTGAGTGTCCGTGGTAAAAGACTAAAAACACGCACGGAGGAGGTACCACTTCCCTTCTGGTTAGCAACCGGTGAATTGGGATTTTTGTAGTGCTATTTATGGCTACTTGCAGACACCAATCTAGGGATTACCTGAGTTATATTTACCGCCCCTTTGAATTAAATTGTAAATTTCGAATTGTTGAGGTTTCAAGTTATCATTGAGCATGATGATTTTCAAAGGATGCAAAAATGTGATTTTTTTCTTCAAAAACATAGCATGGCCTGTGCAAATCATATTGTGGAACTTGTATAAAATGTATATACTTTGTTAAGAAATTTCTACTGGGTTTTATGCTTACTCCTATGGGATTTTGGTGTAGAAAATGATGTGGCAATTCTGCCGAATTAGGGCGTGGACATATTTGTTGAGGGCATATGACTCCTCTTTTGTTGTGATGTATTTTTGCTAGCCAAGGGCTATAGTTGTATGGGTCCGAGAGACTATTTTTGTGTAACCGGGCTTAAGCCTTGGAATTTGTAAGCCTTTAGGGCATTTGTTTATTTTCGGATCTAATGTTCTACATGCTATAGATTCATGTATTTGATATCATTGAATGTATAATTCGTATGTGGAACTATTTTGTGCAAACCTTAATGATCAATGATGTAAAAGTTGAAGAATCACTCCCTCTCTTATAATGAATGTTGTTTGATGTAATCATATGATGTTATAAATTTTCGGGGCATTACATACTCCACCATGACTCCATAGATTGTTGTTTTATTTGAGTTATGGTGAGAAAGAGTATATAAAAAAAAGTGAGAATTATGAGATTTATTTGAATGCCTTAGGCTTAGCATTGTTATGTTTGTTCTCATGAGTAGATGAGAGATTTTGTATATATATATTGTTGCCTTATTTTCAGGAGTAGACAAGTGCTTTGATTTACGCGCATACGTATATGCTAACCATCTGGGGAGTGTGGGTCAAACTCGAGACGATATCCCCGTGCAAGTTTGGCTTCGGAGTGGTGTTAGGTATACATGAGGCACATGGGATATATGTGTAGCCATGTGCAGGCCGGAAGTGAAGGGCCGAAGTGGTGGAGTTAAGGTACAAACAATTAAATATGAGTTTATTGTTATAGTGTGAATTGTATTGATTTGTACATCTTGAAAAATAGTAAACGACCTCGATAAATAATAAAATTTGAGCAGAGGCGTGTATATGTGATTCTAGACAACTTTTGTGTTTTAACTTTTTATTAAAAAGATCGATTAGAACTTGTAATTGGATGATCTTGGTTACAATAGTTTTTATTCATTTTAGCAGTGCTGACTTTAGATGTTGTTTTAACCTACGAAATGAGCTCATTTTTATTGGTTTAGCATAAGCTGAAATAAAAATATTATTCTCCACAATTTCGAGTTTTGAACTTTTCTGAAAAAAATCATCTGAGGACAATTTCTTTTCGTTTTCAACTTTAGATTTTTCAGTGGAATTCCGTCTAGGTTCTTCTATCAAGTTTTTCTCTCAACCTGTTCAGTTTCTACTTAATTTGTTTACGTTGCCTTTTAGGAAATTTGATTCTGTGCAACTTTTGTTATTTGAGTTTTGGTTAATTTGAATTATTTAAGCATGAAACGGTACATTTTTATACTTCTTCAATAAGTTACTTATGATTAAATTATACTAACTTTATTTTTTTTTGCAGAATGGTGTGTCTTACTAACTTTTTATGTAGGACTGACCCACCATATTTTTATGTTTATTTTATTTATTTTATACTCAATTTATTTTTAGTTGTGTACAGGCAAGAAACTACATGTCACCGTATCTTGGGAAACTACTCGTTCGTCTCAATACGGTTGGAACTACTTGTCTTGTCCCGTAACAAGAATTAATGTACTTTTTGTTAGTGTCTGGTGGACACGTGGGTGTCAAATCTTATGCTCATGCCAGTATACTTGCATACTGACCCGTTTTGTCTCTTGGCATCTCGGGTGCGTCCTATTTGAGCGCAGTCAAGCTTCCTTTGCAGGATTAGTTGGGACTATGGTGGTGACAAGAAATAACTATGATCGTAGGACATGTCTTTTGGACATCTTTTGGTTTTCTTGAGCTTAGGGTTGCTATTAGTTTATGTATTTATTATTTTTTATGACCTTAGCATTTTTGACAATTTGGCATTGTGGGTTGTTTTTCAACGTTACATTATTTAAATTGTTTTGACTAGTTGTTGCTACTTTAATGTTGGAGGTATTGGATAGTTATAAATCTATGATGAATAGTTTGGTTGGCGTTTATTAATGTTTTTTTTTAATCCCTTGTTATCTTTTGAGTATGAAAATTTACTTAAACCTTATGGAGACGAGAATGTTTAGATTTTGTTTCATCCCTAGGATTTGGATGATGGAATATTGATTGGGACTTAGTCCTAATTTAATATTTAATTGTCCAAATTTTGGGGCGTGACAGTGGTAAATAATAATATTGTCCAACCAAAAGATAAAC